TGCCTTTTTCAGACTCCAATCTCCTTTCAAGTCTTCCGGTTCGCGAAAGGCAGCAAAGCCAGAGAATTAACGCATCTATCCACGATATCAAGTTACATATCTTACACTACACTACCTGTACTAACTAGAAAAACATACATAAGCACACTTACTTACCAAACAGGACGAAAAATGCAAACAACAGCAGCGAACGGACTAACGCAGAAAACAAAGCCTAACCGTACTGTACCGTACCGACGAAGCGTATAGTATAGCGTATGTATGAAAAATGTGTATGTTGTATGTAATTACGTTTACGCAGCACCAAGAACAAGCCGGAACGAAAGCAGAATCGCGTACCACCGGCCGAGCAAAGCAGAACCGCGCCCGCCTCCCCCACAGACGGTGTTACCTCTCCTTCTCCCCAAACGCCGCACCCGCCATCGCGCGCGCATTGACATGTACATGCTTGGCCTTCTCGCCGACTTCCCAGCATACCTGTGCGTATTCCTCAGTACAACGTAGAACGAGACAAGCACAAAACGCACCTCAACCCCCCTCACCCACGCACACCCCAGCACCTCCTCAATCGGCGCCCTCAACTTCGGATCTGGCTCCAGCATCTTCCTAATCAACGGCCGACACGCCCTCGGCGACAAATTGCTAATCGTCGGCGGGAACGTGAACGTCGAGTTCGTCCCGTGCCGGTCGCGGTCCACCGTTATCGTCGCTGTCGTGCTCGCACCTCCGGTACTTGCACTTCCATTGAAGGCGGTAGTGGACGACGCAGCCGAGGCCGCGGGAGTATGTCCGTTGGAAGACGCAGGAGGGAGAGGGGGGGCAGCGGTGAGCGGGGGCGGCGGCGTCGCAGCGGCGGCCGCTGCATACGCGGCGTAGAGCTGGTCAGACGGCTGCGCGGCGCGCCAGGGGAGTTCTTGGAAGTGCAGGCAGTAGTACACGATCCCGCAGGCCCAGATGTCGACGAGGCGGGCGTCGTAGGCTGGTGAAGACATGTCAGTATGGGTGGAGAAACGAGGGGGGGAGTGGAAGAGATGTGTTGTGAAGACGGTCAGGTAGGAACAATGGCCCCTCCTATACTACGTCGTGCCCCCTGTGCCTGCGACCGCTCTCCGCACTTCCACTCCCAGCGGCAACGATCGCACGCACCCCACACTCAAAGTGTGTGGGCGCGGGGTGCAGCGCAGACCCGTTCTGCACATATAACAGCGAACAAACGTAGACTCACGTTTCCCCAAAAACTGCTCCGGCGCAATGTACGGCTCACTCCCGCACAGCCCCGTCGACATGTGGATTGTCGCCTCCCAGGGCAGGCGGTAGACCGTCGAGGCGCCGTAGTCACCGATCTGCGGGTGGGGTTAGCGAGCCCATTGATGATTGTGTGACGTGGAGAGTGGGTTGGGGAAGAGAGATGGAGGTGGTCAGCGAGGGTTAGCGAGCGGATTGGCGAGGGGAGGGAGTGGGACGGAAAGGGAGCGCGAGAGCAACGATCGCGAGGCAGGCGCGCATCTCGTATCTCGTAACAGATGGACGTCCGTAGCCCCGCCTTCGCGCCTCTCCCGGACATCCTCTCCTCTCTCCTCCTCTCAACCGCACTCAACCTCCCTCCCTCCCTTCTCATCCCTCCTCCCAAACACCGACTCAACCAGAAACCAGAACCATCCACTCACCTTCAAATGCCCCCCCGTATCGAAAAACAAGTTTTCCGGCTTGATGTCGCGGTGCGCGACGCCTTGAGAGTGGAGGTAGCTGTGTGTGTGTGAGAGCGTCAGTGAGCGACGAGGGAGGGATACGATGGAAGGGAGAGAAAAAGGAACAAAGAGAAAGAGAGGGGAGGGGAGGAGCGTGGGGCGGGCGGGCGGGCGGAAGGGGGTTCACACGTCGAGTGCGAAGCCCCCACTCCACCGCGGGCCGCACACGCTCCGCCTCCGCCTCCGCCTGCACATGAGGGAGAAACGCCGTTGGCTCCCGCCCCCCCACATCGCCCCGCCGCAGCCCCTCCTGTCTGCACCAACGCGCGAAACGCCCATCGCCCATTCCTCCGGCGCCCTCTCACCGCGCCCGCACTCGCTCATTTAACCAAAAGCCACAGAAAACGAAAAAAACCCGAAAACAAAACAAAAAAGAAACAGGAAAGGCAACGCACCCAACCCCACTCAAAATCTGCTTGAAGCAGCACTCGACCTCGCTCGGGCTCATCCCGCCCTTCTTGATCGCCGCGTAGAGGTCGCCGCCGGGGCAGAACTGCGAAACGGAGGAAGGGTTAGCAAGGGTATGAAGTAAAGGAGTCAAGAGGAGAGAAGGGAGAAAGAGGGAACGAGGGGAGAGAGAACGAAAGTAAAGCAGTTGAGAGGAGAGAAGGGAGGAGACGCTGTGACTACACCGACGCCGGAAAAGGCGGACGACGGGCGACGCCAACGCCAACGCCGCCACGGGTACGGGCTCGGGCTCGGGGACGCACGCGCACCGCGACACGAGATCTCCCGAGGTCAGGTCGGTCGATCTCCCCATCGATATCGATCCCCATGCGCCGAAGATCCGCTGCCCTAGATCTACCCGCTCCACCCGCTCCACACTACACTCGGGATCCACACGCATGTTCCGTCCGTCCGTCCCTCGACGGCCAAGCCTCCCTTATACGCACACGCAGCGACCCGACCCGACCCGCCCAAAAGGAAAAGAGAAAATAATAATGCATCATGCAGCGCCTCCCACTCCCTCGAAAGGGAACGCGCGAAAAAAAAGGCGGACACCGCGCCGACGGAACGGTACTCGAGTGCGAAAAAAAAAACCCCCGAAAACGCAAACGAGAACCGGAACGGAACAGAAACAGAACGGAAACCGCGCAACGCACCTCCATAACCTCACACCACCTTCCCTGCTCGTCCTGCACGAGGTCGACCGTCTCGACGATGTTAATGTGGTGGAGGGTTGAGCTGTGAAAGGGAGGGTGGGGTCAGCGAGCGATAGGAGAGGGGAGCAAGAAGGGAGGAAATAATAATAATAAAGAGGGGGGAAACGGGGGAAGAAGCAAAAAATAGGCGGAAGCGAGTGACACCGCCCGTCCTTTTCCTCGTCGAAAGAGAAAATAAAAAATAAAGAGAGGTGACGTCATACCGCCACCGCCGACGCCGACGCCCCGCCCAAGCGCGAAGTAACAGACAGACTTCGGCGGGGGGCACGCACACCCACACTTGAGGCGCTACGCGGCACGGTAGAATCCCCACCAAGCCGCTGCCCCGTTTGCGAAGTAGAATAGAATCGCGTTCAAGGAATGAAAGATACGGGACGACGAGCCGAGCCAAAAGCAAAAAAAAACAACGTCCGTCCGGTCCAACGAAAAAACACGAAAGGAACGAGAACGAACGCAAGTAGAAGCGGAAGAAAGCGGAAGAGAACGAAGGGAAAGGAACATAAACACACCTAATACAAAATTCGGCCGTCAGCTTCTTGACGTACTCTTTTTCTGTCTCTGTGCGACGGCGTTTGCGGAATTCCTGGTGGGTGGGCGTTAGCTCTCTATTCCAAAGAAAAAGACAGAAACGAAGAGAAGAGAAAACCAGGAAGGGGAGGAGAATAAAACCAGTAAGAGAAAACGCAAACACACCTTAACAGCATAAACCTTCTCCCCTCCTCCCTCGCTCCGATCCCACTTATGTGCCAACCTCACCACACTCGTCGCCCCCTTGCCAATCGCCACCTTCTGACACACACCATACTTTGACGAAAGCGACCCATCGCTCTTTACACTTCCGCCCTTGCTTCCCCCGCCCTTGTCTTTCTTTTCCTTCTTTTCCTTCTTCTCTTTCCCACCACCCCCCTCCTCATGCGACGACCCAGGGAACCCCCAACTCCTCACACTAACGCTAACCTCACTCCCACTATCCGCACTATGCCTCGAGCTCGCGCTTCTTGCCGAACTCCGTCGAGAGAGTTTAGGCCCGGAGGCGAGGAGGTCTTTGAGCGTGAATTTATGTCCGCCTCCCTCCTTCTCCTTGTGCGATGTCGTGGAAGGCGCCTCGCTGATAACGGACGCAGCACGCGAGGGCGCACGCGCAGCGGGGAACACAGGCGTATTCGGGGCGCTCTTGCCCTTCGCCGCAGCCGCAGTAGTAGGGGCGGCAGATCCAGAGGTGGACGCAGCGCGTTTCACACCCGCCGGGCCCGGGCCCGGTCCGAGAGGCGGGGGGTAAGGCGAGATGGGCGAGGTGGGTGCGGACACCGCGCCGACGCCAGATGGGAGGGGGGCAAGGGTGGAAGGGGGCTTGAGCGTGGCGGTAGAAGTGTTAGAGCTGCTCGAGGTTGGTGTGGTGCCATTCGTATTGTTATTCGACGTCGCGGTCCCATTCGTCTTCGTATTGGTATCGGAAGCAGCCCTCGCCTTGTCCAACAGATCCTGGCGCGTATTGCCAGGCTGCTTGTCGAACGCAGCGGATTCGGGTGGAGGGAGAGGGATGCTCGTCGTACTCGTACTCGAGGGCTTGGCCATCGTGCTGGTGGTGGTGGTGTGAATCGAAGTTGTCTGGTCTAGAGAGGTCTAGACAGTAAAGTCAAGTCAGGTCAAGTAGGGACCGGAATCGGGCTCTGTCAGCAGGCAGCAGCAAGTCGTTCCGAAGGTCCTAGATGCTCCTGTTCTTCTTTTCAATTCTGCTTGGACATCGTGCCTTTGTCGTGGGTGGTAAGCAAGCAGTAAGCGTGTCCTGTCCTTGTCCGTGTGGTAAAGGAAAGGCTGAGTGACCCACTCCGAGTCGCACCACACCGGGGCCACCGTGCGTACACCGACGTAAACAACGTCCAGCCACCAGCGGCGTAATTCCCGCACCCAACCCACGAGGCAACTCCGATCCCATTATCTGATTCCGAATGCTCCCGACTGCAGGGCATTGGTAACACATCCCCAACAGGCCATCTGCCCCTGAGAAGAAAAGGAAGGAAGAACCGGGGATCGAACGCAGGATGAGTTGAGTGATGCGGCTGACTCACCTTGAGAGATAAAGTAAAAAAAACCAGATGGATTCGAACCAGAGACTTCCTTATAAACATCATAGGTGACTACAGCACAATTAAAGGATATGTAACCACTACACCATCTGGCCTTCCCAAAGTTCACTCATCTTTCAAGGACCTGCGTTGCTGATCAAACAATGACAAACGAAAAAAAAGAAGTGACATTCACAATAAAAGGACGTGTACCCATTACACCATCCAGCCTTACTGAAGCTTGCTCATCTTTCCTAGGCCTGGGTAACTTCCTGATCAAACACCGGCTTGTCGACATGATTGAAAGACTGCAGCCTTCCTGAGATTTACCCACTACGATTAGATACTCAAAAGAAGAACAAGCTTAAGCAGGGAAAAAAATTGCATCTACCCGGATCATGGGTTCAAACCTGGGACTTGTCGCAAACAACCATACTCGGCCATGAACGAAATAGGATGTGTAACCACTATACCTACGACCACCACATATGTATACATCAACCTCACATGCCAAATGCCTATCAATTCACCAACTTGACGAGATAAAAGTTTAGCAAACGGGAAAAAAGAAAGCAACTTGAAGATCAAGTATCTACGGTCAGACCCGGACGGGACTTCCTCTGCAGCAAGCTGTCGCCATTATGATAATAACTCAAGGACATGTAACACCATCCGACCATACTAAAGTTGTTCATCTTTCCATCAAACACCGGCTTGCCGTGTTCTCAAATTTACCCACTGGTGAATAGTACATAGAAGAAGAAGAATGAATGGGTACAAGCGGAAGAAAAAACAGCAACTACCAGGCTCAAGCCCCGTTCGTACCACAGACTTAGATAAGGTTTATGTCACGATTTGATACTATCTAATCGTTCCAACGCCTTATGTAAACATGTGCCTATCTAATCTTTGGCGCTTATATTATATGAGCACTTATTAATATCCTCGGAATGTTCTGGACAAACACACAACAAACACACCTTATACATGAGGATACAGGTCGCTTTGTAAGAACACATGGTGGAGGGACGGTTCACATGAGGAACACACATTTAATTAATAGGTCTTGACAGATCTCATGGACAACGCATGTACAACACATGGTTACAGACTATTGTAGTATATTTATGTTCTCGTTCACACGGCCCGATAAAACAGTATATATACAGTAGCTAGTCGTCTGTAGTAGTTAACCTTTTATTCCATCCTCTTTCGAGCTATACACATCGCACTCCCCAATCCTTTATCTTTGATATTGGACGCGATTTAGTCTTGACTGTGACATAATAAAAGGTTACCCATCATACCCTCGTACCGCCATCCCCTACCAACCTCCTTTCCCTTTCTCCCCCACTACGCGCACTATTTGCGTCATCCTTACCTTTTTACTTGGACTCTCGTATTTGAAGATCCATTCTTACCCACCAACATACTACCTCGTCCACAGCGAGTCTAAACAATTGCAGCGCCAATCATTGGCGGTCCACTATAGTGAACAGACGCTTGGCCACGGGAAACGTTGAGTCCGTCCCCAGCCACAAAGCAGTCGTAGGAGCACTGGTCAGATCTTCGGAGAGGACCATCTCGCTATTGTCGGAGGTGTTGTAGAAGACCCGGGATAGTTTCACTCGCAAAAGACCGCATTGACTTCACTCACCGCTTCGTGCGGAATTCGCCACAGTGTCCCGTTTGGCACCTCGTATACACACCAGTCCTGACTCCTCGGACGAATCCCATTCGTGCTCGCCATTATCCTCTTCACCCTCTCCGCAGACTACCACACATCCGTCGTCACCACTATCCCTTCCCTTCCACCTCCTAAGCCTAGACATGTCGTCTAAGGTTATCCTCGCCACCACCCCGCCGTTCTTTAACGGTGACAAGACCAAGTGGAATAACTTCCACGACTCCCTGTCCACCTACATCGCCGCGTATGACGATGAGTTAAACACCAACAAGAAGAAAGTTTTCTTCACCGTGTTGTTCCTCCGAAATGCGGACGGAACAGATTGCACAGCTTCGGACTGGGTCCGAAACTGGAAGAAGAGGACGTTCGTCAATTGCGCCCTCCCGACCACCTACACGTTCGACCAGTTGATTGTCGAACTGGAAGCCGCGTTCAAGGATCAGAACCTTGCGCAGTTGGCCCACCTGAAACTGACGACTACGCGTCAGGGAAAAATGTCGCTGGTGGAGTTTTTCCAGCATTTCGAGCTCTATGCGGAGCAGGCGGGGTATTCCCCGAACTCAACAACAACAGGTTACAATGCCTTTTTGGTTGAGCTATTGTAGGATCTTGTTGGACATGAGATCATTTCGCAAATCTACCTGGGGGGGACAGCCTTGCCCACCACGTACAAGGATTTCAAAGCCCGCTTGATGCAGATCGATGGCAATCTGCAGAGAGACAAGATCCGACAGGGATGAAGGAGACAGTTTTGGTCTCCCCGGGTGGAACAGACAGTACCGCCCACCACTAACAAAGGGATGACACAAGTGGCCCCACCAGCGAGAGATCCGGACGCCATGGACGTGGACAGGGCACGACAGCAGACGCGAGCCTTTAAATGCTATAACTGCGGCAAGGACGGTCACATGAAGCGGGAGTGCCCGGAGCCTCCCAAGAAAAAATTCAATATTTGATCCATCCAAACCGAGCACTACACGCAGGAAGACCTGCAGGCCCTAGCGGCCATCCTTCGTGAGAAGGGTTTTTAAAGGGGCCCCCGCTTGCGGCCAAAGCGGCGCCCCCTGATACGAAATATGGACGCTTCACAGAATTAAATAATATAGACACTACGGACACGGTAGATACAGATACAGATGACATGTACACAGAAGAAAATGCCAGCTTACGAAAGAGTATAAACAATTTCTTAGTAGCTAGTGTAGAAAAAGGACAAAAAATATGTATTATGGAGAATCAGAATCGGAAACGTAATTTAAAGAACAAACATATGGACGAAGTAAATAAGAGGTGGAGCGCATTCAAAAAGGCCCCTGGAACCCAAACTAGTGATAAAAATAGTGAGACGAAAAAGGACGGCGATGCCGTGAGGGCTCAATCCGGAAAGACGGAGGAAGCGCCCAAGAGGACAAAAACACCCGATGCCATTCGCATGCGGGAAGCGGCTGCCCGGCAGAAAGGACCAAAGCCGGATCGGTTGGCACAGGAGTTGAAGGAATTCCAGAAACAACGAAAGCATCACGAGATGCTTGTTCCCGTTATGCTTGAAGCGTTAGATACCGGGAAGACGCGTGCAGTCAAGGCTCTTCTTGATAATGGATGCACTACTACATGCATCGATCGAGATTACGCCAAGGCTGAAGGTTTTGAGCAACACGAGCTCGACGTGCACATTGTCGCCCGCAACGCTGATGGAACGGAGAATGCTCGGGGAAAGATCACTCATTACGTAGAGTTGATCATGACCGTTGGACCACACAAGGAGCGACAGCGCTTCTTGGTTACAGGGCTCGGGAAAGCCCGTGTATTCATTGGTTACAATTGGTTATTCAAACATAACCCCGAGATTGACTGGAGATCTCAAAGGATCACTTTCAATCGTTGTCCGCCTGAATGCAATATGAAGGGCCAGGAGTTTCGCGCTGGGAGGAAAGAGGAATTCCTTGAGGAGGGTGAATCAATCCTAATGGTTGATTTTGCTGAGGAGATCGATCTACGCCTAAAAGAGACCCAGGCGCAGAAGATGGCAGAAGAAGCCAATCAGGGTAAAGAGAGGATGACCGAGGAAAAGATCCCACTGCAGTACCACGACTATGTAAAAGTCTTTGCAAAGGAATCATTCGATTCATTACCCGAGAAAAGACCATGGGACCACGCAATCGAGCTAAAACCAGATGCAAAGGCCGTAGATTGCAAGATATACCCACTCTCGGTGACTGAACAGGAAAAATTGAATGAGTTCCTGGAGGAGAATTTGAAGAGTGGACGGATCCGCCCATCAAAGTCACCAATGGCTTCGGCATTCTTTTTTATAAAGAAGAAAGATGGCAGCCTGCGACCAGTCCAGGATTATCGGAAGCTCAATGACATGACAATTAAAAACCGTTATCCGCTTCCGTTGATTTCGGAGCTTGTAAATAAGCTTCGTGGTGCCAAGATCTTTACGAAATTGGACATAAGATGGGGCTACAACAATGTGCGGATCAAGGAGGGGGATGAGTGGAAGGCAGCATTCCGCACAAATCGAGGGTTGTTTGAACCGCTTGTAATGTTCTTTGGTCTTACGAACTCGCCTGCGACCTTCCAGACAATGATGAATGACATACTCAGAGAGCTAATCAATGAGGGAAAAGTCATTGTCTATTTGGATGATATCCTGATTTTCACGGAAACATTGGAGGAACATCGGGAGTTGACAAAATGAGTATTGAAAATACTCCAGGACAACAAACTCTTTCTTAAACCCGAAAAGTGCGAGTTCGAACGCACAGAGATTGAGTACCTGGGAGTGATCATCTCGCACAACTCGATGAGGATGGACCCAGTGAAGATTAAAGGAATCATGGAGTGGCCTGAGCCCAAGAACCTAAAACAGACACAAGCGTTTCTAGGGTTTACCAACTTCTACCGGAGATTTGTCCGAGGGTACAGCGAAGTTGCGAGGCCGCTCACACGGTTGACAGGGAAGGAGGGGTTCTCGTGGGGACCTGAACAAAAAGCCGCGTTCCAGAAACTAAAAGATAGGATCGCAGAGGATGCAGTATTAGCGCTTCCAACTGATGACGGAAAATTCCAAGTCGAAGCAGATGCATCAGAGGGAGCAACAGGAGCGGTGTTGAGTCAGGAACAGGAGGGCGAATGGCGCCCTGTTGCGTTTATGTCACATGGACTAAATGAGACCGAGCGAAATTACGAGATCTACGATAAAGAGATGCTCGCGATAATGCTTGCCTTAGATGAATGGCGACAATTACTCCTTGGGGCTAAACACAAATTCGAGATTCTGACAGATCATCAAAATCTGCAGTATTTCAAATTGCCCCAGAAGGTCAATCGCCGACAAGCACGGTGGATTACGGAGTTGTCGGAGTACAACTTCTTGTTATCACATCGGGCCGGAGCGCTGAACCAACGAATATGGAAGTTACCTCAGAAGGGGTGGCTCGGTTGACCCGAGATCGCGTGATTAGATATCACGGAGTTCCACGTAAAATTATATCCGATCGAGATACGAGATATGTCTCGATATTCATGAAAGAGTTAAACCGGTTGCTCGGCATAGAAATGAACCCGAGCACAGCCTATCACCCGATCACAGACGGCCAGACTGAACGGATGAACCAGGAGATTGAAAAATATCTCCGTATTTATGTTAATTATCGGCAATCAGATTGGGCTGAATGGCTAGCAATGGCCGAGTTCACTCATAATGATAAAGTCAGCTCGTCGACGAGCATGTCGCCTTTTTATGCGAACACGGGATACCACCCCTGGAAGGGGATAGAAAATAGAGTTGAGTCGCGCAATGAGGCTGCGAACAATTTTGCAGAAAAAATGAAAAAGATTCGTGACGAGGCGGTGGCAGCAATGGAAAAAGCACAGAAAACAATGAAAAAATACTACGATGCAAAGCGTAAAGATGCACCGGAGTTCAAAATCGGTGATAAAGTGTGGTTAGAAGGAACAGACATAACCACTGATCGACCGTCGGAGAAGTTAGAGAAGCTAAGGCTAGGGCCTTATGAAATTCTGGAAAAAGTCGGAGCTTCCTCTTGGAGACTTAGATTGCCTGAAACGGACCTGTCACATCCAGTATTCAATGAATCGAAGTTAACACCATATGTGGAACCCCCGGAGCATAGAAGGGAAAAACGGCCACCGCCTCAGATTATCAGTGGACAGAAGGAGTATGAGGTGGAGGAGATTTTAAAGCACAGAAAACGCGGCAGTGGTTATCAATGGCTGATAAGATGGAAAGATTATCCGCTTGGAGAACGGACTTGGGAACCAAAAAGGAACTTGACGCACGTAAAAAAGCTTCTGAACGAATATAATAAGAAGCACGGCATCAAGATTCGGGAGTTACCGATTCTTCCGGCAGGATTTTGGGACAAAACCATACGCCGATACAAAACAAAGGAGGAGTCCTTACCATACTCGACGAAGAAATTATTTATCCCAGAGACTGGTGTTTTTGTCTCTGTCGACGAGGACGTCGACCCTAGAGGGGGGGTAATGTCACGATTTGATACTATCTAATCGTTCCAACGCCTTATGTAAACATGTGCCTATCTAATCTTTGGCGCTTATATTATATGAGCACTTATTAATATCCTCGGAACGTTCTGGACAAACACACAACAAACACACCTTATACATGAGGATACAGGTCGCTTTGTAAGAACACATGGTGGAGGGACGGTTCACATGAGGAACACACATTTAATTAATAGGTCTTGACAGATCTCATGGACAACGCATGTACAACACATGGTTACAGACTATTGTAGTATATTTATGTTCTCGTTCACACGGCCCGATAAAACAGTATATATACAGTAGCTAGTCGTCTGTAGTAGTTAACCTTTTATTCCATCCTCTTTCGAGCTATACACATCGCACTCCCCAATCCTTTATCTTTGATATTGGACGCGATTTAGTCTTGACTGTGACAGTTTATCAATTAAAAAAGAAAACAAGATTCTTTTCAACTTATGGCCAGACCCGGATTCGAACCGGGGACTTCCTTTCATTCAAGTTCAAGCCCAGTGAAAATCCCAGCGAGATCTGTCGAGCTAGAACGAGGTAAATAGAGAAATCGAGCCAGATCGAGGTAGATAATGCTTAAAAGAGATTTTTGCGTGCCAAAAAATGCACGCGTCATGACGTCAACAACTTTTGAGCAACCTCCTCGCTTCAACTCGACGCTCGTCCAACCCGCTTAACAATTTCGCGCGGCTTCGCAAGGTGTTACATAATTAACTCGAAGTCGTACGATTGCGGGACCGCGGGACTTGTCATTTGATGACTCGCACTCTCTTTCTTACCACCACCTTCCCCACCCCACTGTCCCTCCCTCCCGCCATCCCTCCCCTCCCCTCCTCGTCCTCGCCTTCGCGCCAATAGCTCCCGCTTCGCCCTGGGCGCATGTTTGGTTCCACCCCGTGCAGCCTCGAGAAGGTGCCGACCAAAGGAGTGGTGCGTGAAAGGTCTTTCTTGCGGCAGTCACCTAGCTTGATACAGTTTTCTAGATCCTTTCCGTGCTCTGTTACTTGCCAATGTACGTGCTCGCTTCACCATGACATCCCCTTACTCACATTCACTTTCAAAGTGGGTAGCGTAGGACACCCGCGATGTATTGGTGAGTTTTTCGCCGCTCGCCGACTCCTTTATGTCCTGACTTCCTCCTTCCTAGCCCGTACTGCGACATGTACGTGCCTTTTCCCTCCCCCTCCCTCCTCTTTGCCTCCCCCCGGTTGTATGCTGTCCTCCCATCCCACTCGCGCGTGGCGCGCCACTCGCCCGACGCAGATGTGTAGGATGTGTACCGTGCCTGCAGTAGAGTATATACCAATGTAATCTACGCGCCGGCGTGAATATATGTGATTTATCCAATTTATATGTCTATCTCTTTTCCCCTCCTTCTGTCTCGATGAGTACCTCGACCAACCTCGTTCGGCCTCGATTGGCCTCAATTGTCATCGAGGTAGAACGACAATAGTCCAGATTATCGAGGCCGAACGAGAAATTAGTACATTTCTCGATTTGGCTCGACTGGGCTCGATATACCTCGCCGGGATTCTCACTGGGGTTCAAGGCCTAGGGTGATGTATTAATGAAGAAGGACATGTAACCACCACACCATCTGACATCCTGAACTCTGCTCATCTGTCCCACGCCGGGGTAACCTCCTGATCAAACACCGGCTTGCCATGATCAAAAGACCTGTAGCCTTCCTCGAATTTACCCGGTAAATAAATACTTCAAAGAACAACGACCAACTTGGTGAGATAAAGCTTAACACGAAAAAAAGATATTGCTAATGACTTCCTCCAAGTCACACGAAGCAAAAATGTTCACAGGGCTCCCTCAAAAAGTATAAAAAATGGAAACCCTTAACTTCATGGCCAGACCCAGAGTCGAACCGGGAACTTCCATGCAACTGTTTATTGGAGTACGCATTATGACAGAAGGACATGTAACCACTACACCATCTGACCATCTTGAAAAATGCTCATCTTCCTAGATCTTGATTCCAGATCAAACAAAATTTATCCACTGGTAACGAAAGGGTGAAAACGGAGAAAAAAATACAGCTACCAACTTTTCTAAGTCGCGCTGAAGCCGGGCTTAGCTAAAAAGAATAATGCTGAGGGAAATGGCCAGACCCGGAATTGAACCGGGAACTTTCATGCAACTGTTTAATGGAGTACACACTATAACAGAAGGACATGTAACCATTACACCATCTGGCCATCCTGAAAAATGCTCATCTTCCTACATCTTGATTCCAGATCAAACAAAATTTATCCACTGGTAACGAAAGGGTGAAAACGGAGAAAAAAAATACAGCTACCAACTTTTCCAAGTCACGCTGAAGCCGGGCTTGCTAAAAAGAATAATGCTGAGGGAAATGGCCAGACTCGGAATTGAACCGGGAACTTGAACCAGGGACTTCCTTTGTAATTCTTCCGAGAGTGCAATGGCAGAATAGAAGGATATGTAACCACTACACGATCCAGCCTTCCTAAGGCATGTTCATCTTTCCTTCACCAGGACAACCTCCTGATCAAACACTGGCATGCTGTGATTAAAAGACTGTATCCTTCCTTAAAATTACCTACTGGTAAATACATACAAGAAGAACAAAACACAAGCAGAAGAATCAAAGACACAGCTAACCCGAATCAAGGCCCAACCCGGGTTCAAACCACAGACTTTCTGCAACCAACCATTGTAACCACTATACTTACCATCAGGCCAACACCATGTATACATCAATTTTATATCCAGAATGTCTTCCTCAGTTGAGTTTGCTACCTTGTCGAGACAAAGTTTGGCAAATGGAAAAAGAATCGGAAGGTAGCACCTACGGCCAGACCCGGAATTGAACCGCAGACGAGTATTGAGGCCCTACAATGAAAGGACATGTAACAACCAACCTTCGGCCTTCCCGAAACTTGTTCGTCTTTCCTACACCTGAGTTACCGATCAAATGTCGGAAAAATAAAAATAGGCATATATGCCGGCCGCCTTATCATGCCATAATAATGCCATAATAAGCCCATTAAAACCAACCGGCCGTCGGATAAGTGCCATATCAGGCCGCCGGCTCGGATTATTTTCGCACGATAATCCACGTTTTCCGATGCTCAGCTCTGTACGCTTCCCCGCCCATGCCCGTTTGCAACACGGCCTGTGGGCACATTCCAGGGCCAAAATCAAGACTACTGCAACATGGCTGAAGTGCCCATTGGCCGCCATTCACATCTCTTGGCTGTGTAATCCCGCTGGCGCCAGTCCACTTTGTACTGCTGGCAACCTGTGCTATTATGGCCCTAATTTTCGCTGATCAACCCGCGGTTCCAAGCTGAGAACCTTCTGTATATCTGAAACCTCTGGGTAGGCTGCTAGCATGACTCTTGACCCGAAGGTCTACCGGTTCCTCAATGAGGATGGATGCACGGATGCATAGTAGCTCAGAACTCGCGAGGCTCTGCTGGCATGGGGATGGAAGGTATGTCCCCAGTTCTTTTGTACAAGAGATAATGAAACTCTCGTTCCATTGGAGAACAGGCAACAGCGGAATGATGGTACGCTTTGCGAGAGCGAGCAAACTGGTAGTCGACTTGCGGTGGTAAATGCACTTGGGGTGGCTCATGGTGAAGAAGCATTGAATGGGGGGTGCGCGAGGCAGGCGCCGCAGGCTTCTCGTGAAATGGGTATACTGTGAGCAGGTTGCACCGTGGGTTAACGTGTCCTGCATGAGTGTTTGTTTATTGACCCTCTGCCTCGTTTGCGACCACCTCAGCTACCTGCGTTTAGTGGAGTCGGGACCACGGCAGTTTCTCGCCCATCGCGGACCAGGCAGGCATCTGCGGCTGCCTGTGAGCAGCGGCGACCGTCAAAGCACCGAGATATAATTTAATTCTTAATACGCTACAACCAACTGTTGTCCACCAAGGAAATATAATACGTTCTCCGTACCCCTACAGGCCTTTTAAACGAAGAGAGGTGTCACCGTCTAAAACATCGAACACAATGAAATCACCGGGTTTGTCAAAGTCGGGGGCGAGGACTGCCCCACGGATAATGGAATGTACGGAAATGAATTCCGCATTCTTCCTAGGCTTTGCGCGAACGCGGCGGAAACGCAACAGCTTGTCCTTGCGTTTCACCTGACCAATCGGAGCGTCGAGTGGGAGAACAAGTGCGAACGGGTGTGACTTGTTCTTCTTCGGATGCGACTTGTCCTTCACAGTGCAGGAAAATAGATAAATGAGTTGTGCAAAGATAGGTTTATGTGTTGTCTTCATCAACACACAATCGTAACGCGGATGACCTTGAAATTTCGGATTGCATCGAAGATAGTCGACCGTGGGTTTCCAATCACTCAGCGACTCGTAATGAACCTTGAGGAATTGGAAAGGCACGATCTATTTCAGTGGGTAATCAGTCAAGTCAAAATATTCCCCAATCCGAGAAAACTTACCTGTTCTGTTCCATCAAACCTCAGCCGTCTTCCATCTGGTAATCCGTATCCAAACGCTTGCAGAAAATCGGAGATGAAATCCCCAAACTTCACACGGAACCGATCGAAAGCCTTGTCAGTTGACATTTCTTGTTCCAGCGTCGAAAATGAGATGGGTTTAAGCTTCGATCCGATGTCGACATTGGACAAGACTGTTTCCACATCTTCGGGGCTCTCGGAAGGGCCCTCGTCAAGGGCCTCAATTTGTTCCCGAATAAATGTGGCAACCGTGCGACGGTGATCGTGCTTGACCAGCTGAAGAGTGTCAACCAGAATGAGCTGCGGTAGAATTTTAGAAAATTGAACATGCCTGCGGAGTCACATCTTTGAAATTGGTCATTCTGTGATACGTGTTTCGTATGGGGCCATGCATGGCTTCGCTGATCTTGGTCCCAAAATTCCGACATGCTCCCTTGTCTTCAATGTTTTTATGGAGATGCTTTCGCAAATGAAATTTTGGAACATCCCAATTCTTCTGCTTGTTGTCGTCGTTGTCGCGTTCATCCTCGCATGCCTCAATATATTCCTATAGAATGAAGAGTTTAGAGAGGAGTTTTGAAGCATAGTTAATATTACCTTCATGATTGAATCAAGGGTCTGAAGCTCGCTACGTCCTTCAGCAATGGTTTCTGAAGTGTGGACCTCGAAACTGATTGAGGTGCGTAACTCCAAGTAGCTACGAAGTGCCTGTAGGAGCAGTAGCCCAGTTTCGTCACAATCGAGGACGTTATGAGCAACGAAAAGCATCATTTTTGCGATGTCTTCGTGTTTTGAACCGTCGTTGAATGATGTGTTCATTACTGTTTCAAAGTGGTTCAAGTTTCTCCAGCGCGGGAAGGCTGCCATCCTTGAAATGATTTGTTAGACCAGTGTGAATAAATATGCAGCTAAATGAAAACACACTGCACATCAATTTTGGCGATGGCGCTTCTACCCAATGCTTCGACCCGCTCCTTTATTTGAGGAAACAGATGATCGCCCCAAAAACCTCCGTCGTCCGTGTGCAGGGGGTCGTAAGAGATGGCGCTGTGAGGATCTGAGCCTCTGATCTTCCACAGAGCATTCTATGACCAATGAGCCGATTGGAATGAGAGTTAATAAATCAGCGTACATCGACATCGCGTAATCCCTTGGCCTTTAGCATTGCCTCACGTTCTCCTAATAGTCTTTGCTCTCTGGCTTCGATGACAATGCGTTCGGAATCTTTTCCTGTGCGTAGTGGAAACTCCAAGGAAAGATCAGACTGCTTATCCTTGGGAACAAAGCACATTGGGCATGGATACAAGCCCCCCAAGCCGCGAATAAGGGACATAACACACCTGGAATTATTATCAGCCATCAGGTGTAGTAAATTAAATGAATGACCAACGCCTCTTCATAGTCTGCAGCCAAAATCAAAATTACGGGCCAAAGCCACCGAAGCTCCCCATCGCCACATCGAGTCCATTCACCAACCTTTGAGGGAAGCACAAGGGACTCCAGAAGTGTGTAGAAGGCAGTGTGCCATACAATATTTTTAAAATTAACAAATGAGGCCTTGCCGTTCTCATCCGCGTCGTCCTTCACCTGGATCCATCGCTTCAGTTTGGCCAGAATTCCGATAGATTATAGGAAACATACCATGGGTTGATGGCCAACGACCTGGCCACCACCAAATTGCATACTATTCCGTATACCAATCTTAATGTTTGCTACTCGAGCAACAACTGCGTATGCTTTCTGGGTGCCAAAGGAAGACAGTTTTGACTTGTCGGCATATATAATGTAGTAAACAGCCTTGGCTGCTGGATCATTCGGCAACAATGACTACAGAACAGATGTTAAGCATTATTTTAATACCAGCTAAGGATATACACAACTCACCTGAGCGGCCCAAAATGCGTTCGCTGTCCAAGGTTCTTGATAGAATCGGACATAGGTGTCACCGTTGAACTTGTAGGCCTTTTCGGCATCCCAAACAAAAGAAGAAGCAAGGCGAGGATCTTGAACAAGACTTAGCGCCCACTCCCAGAGTGGCCGTGTGTACGTATCATAGCTTTTCTCTTCATTTTTGTATTGGATTGTGATGCTGCCTTTCTGGAACTGAGATATTTGAGTACATATCAATGTATTCCAGAGGGAAACAGCCTACTGCAGTGCATTTATGTGAAGCTAGCTCCCACAACTTGTCCAATTCTCGTTCATTCACTATGGTAAAGTCCTTTGGATTGGCGTTAGAATGATGTATGAGCTTGATTAAGGTGTCTGTGGCAGTCTTGTTCAACATATTGGTTTCACAGAATTCCGCCACGTCAAAATCCAGTTGTGAACGGAACGGCAGCCATGGCTGTCTATCTGTGGGCTCTGTACGCTGAGAATCCACAACATACTCTTCAAAAGATTGAAATTGAGGAGGGCGTTTACTATGTGGATGAAACACGCGTTTTATTTCGGGTTCTTCGGCTTGAATAGGAGTGCGAGGTTGGGTGGGATTGTCGCCAGCAGGTAATTCCCCGTTATCAAAATCATTGCCTGGCAGCTCATAATCCACGTAAACTGCGGGTTCGTTTACATAGATTAGTGGGGAATTGTCAGCTAGTAAGTTGTGCCAACCATTGGGAGGAATATTAGGTTGTCCAAGTATTTGGGCGGCTCCGAGTTGCCGCGATGGAATGGCTATGATTTGTGCTGTCCAATTAGTTGTTGTAGGTCTGTATGAGTACAACATACAATTTGCTTGTGCTGCTAATAACTCCTGATGTGCAGTTTGACCTGTTGATTCTGTTAGGCGTGGCCCATCGTTCAAAGGAGCACTGGTACGTTGGCGATCTTTTAACTGTGTAGCAAATTCGGTGTTCTTCTTCTTTGTCGCATTCTTGGACAGGCAGGTTTTTTGATGGCTTGTTAGGCCTCTTGGCATGAAGCGGACCCCACAAATGGAACACGGCGCCTTCCCATCGGTATTCATGTGAGTTCAGTTCGTGTGCAAAGTTGAATGATGTCACGTGTTCGCG